GCACATGCCTATATGCTCTGTTGATTCAGTCTCCACACACCTTGCCCAAATTCATGTGAGATCTCAGTTTTGGCCATGAAGTCCTGCTTCCCCTCCTCCAGGAGCTCACATTTCTGAATAATGTCACACCTGAGACACGCATCACAGCTCTGAAGCCAGATTTCTCCTGATGTCCATAAGAGGTCTAAAACTGGTAGCTGTCAAACAATTTCTTAAGTGACCCTAATGAAATTCTTTAACCCCTACCCTCACCTTTTTTAATCCTCATGCTCCTTTCAGCCTTTTCTAATGGAACTGTTCACCAGGATGACCCTTCTCTAGCAGAAGGCCATGCACTCATAAAGATAAACCAGCACCTTGCATTATAGAAGTGTGTTATTAATAAGATTTAGTTTTAATTGCTCTGTGCCGAGCTAAAGTACAGGAAATTGCAATTTTAGTATGTAATATAGTTACAACCTGTTAATCTGCTATGAAAACTGGTCTTACTGTAAAGTCACTTTGCACACAAAGTGCTCTTTCTACCACTAGATGTCAGTTTTACACACTTTAAAATGGACCAATACCTTAAAAATAGTAATTCTCCGTTCACAATAGAAACATCTATTACGTCAATCTTTCTTGATTGACCTTTAATTTTAAGGATTGCAAATTTTATTTACCTTCTTCTCTCCAGCCCCCGCCACCCCTCATGGCACAATTCTGCTTTATTCAAGAAAAAAAGACCTAACATTTTCCACTATGCATTTATTCCATGATTTACTCAGTCTGAGACACGCTGACAGTTTTTGCCATATATTGTTGGCAGAAGTCTGTAGCTCAGGTTGCATTTCTAGAGGCCAGCACAGAAATCTTACTTTTATTCCACAAAGATATTTTTATATTCCATAAGGACATTTTTACTAAGAACTGTCCTATCTTCTCTGACTAATTACAGATAGGCTACTATGCCAGTTAATAAAGGATATAATTAACATGGTTTATTACACTTCTATGGTTTTTCATATTTTTATTTATATCAATTGCCTAAATTTAGATAATTTTTATTTACACTCCAAATTTCTGTCTCTCAGAAGTGAAAAATATAGCTGTAGTCTTTTTGTCAATACCAAACAGTTTTCATAAACTAGTCTTAACATAAACTTTGTCGTACTGAATACAGAACCTCTGTATCATGCATTTACTTTAGCATACCAAATGAAATTGCTTTATGTCAAGTAAATGTCTTTACTTCCCTCCCTCCCCTCCCCCCCTCAAAAGAAGAAGAAAATTAGGAGGAAGTCAAACTCATTATGCATTATTACATTCAAGTGTACTTATACATACACAAAAAACAACGAACTCATTTCACAGCAAACATTTCCAAAGTCACTCATGACAAGAACAGACAGCTACAGAACACAACTCTGCATTGTTGGAAGGCAATGACAAGACTGTCACCTTACATGCAGCTTTACTGTCCAGAGATTGACAGCTTATCTAGCAACACAGTATGCTTGTTTACCATAATGTCAAAGGAATCCCCTCATTCTCATTCACATCAAAATCTGACCTTTTAAAATCCTGCAGATGCTTCGTAGCTCTCCTGGGTTGTTTAAGGTATTATTTGCACCTGCAGCCATTACCGTCTTACACAGGTGGTTACGTAGCAGAAGGGTTGGAAAGTAAGGAAGGGGAAAGACTTGCTTCTATGAACTTAAAAATATAGTTGAAAAGACTGTATCATGCAATCAACTGTATCAACAGCCTTTTTCAAAGACATCTGAAAACTTTTTTGAGGCAACAACTCCATTAAAAACATTCCTTAGCACAACCTCAGCTAGGAACTGTGAAAAAATGGTAAAAAAATCCAAAGTAATTGCAGAGGCCAAAACACATGAGGTCCCATGACTTCTGACAGCAACGTTTATGACCTAGGAGCCTTTCACAGAGAAGTGCTACACCTGGGGCAGGCAAAGGTGCCATATATGCTCTGTACTGTTACAACGTATTATTCCACTCCCCTTGTCTTCCTCCCGCACTTAGCTTCCTCAACTAGGACTCCACTTGCATGCTCACTATCCTTTAGCCACCTCCCAGCCATCCTCTACATGTCCCCAAGAGTGAAAAATGCCCCAAGTCCCACCCAGCCAAGGCATGTAAGCCACATGCACACGTACTGATTGCCTGCGAGCACATGCGCAGAACCAGAGCACCTCAGGACGTGCCAGATCACTCTGATGCACAGTCCACGTGCATGAGCCAGTTTAAACTTCTCCAAACAAAAATACACAAAACCTACTTATAGGTCTGCAGCTCCAGAGAGTACAGAAACTTACCTTCTCTCTGCTTTTGATGTAAGGTGTCCCCTTTGTCAGCACCCATACTGGCAAGCAGCTACAGCAGGATAGGCCATAGGTCCAAGTAGTGCTTCTGCAAGTAAAGGAGCAAAAGACACACCTCAGACATTTGCACCATTACTGCCTTTTTCCCCCTCTACAATACTGGTTGGCTTGATCTGCAAGCTAAGAATTTTGGTTACTCAGCTACTGAGCTCAAAAAGTGAGCTACTGAGAAAGTTGATGTGGGATGAATGAAGCAGCCAGTAGAAATGAGGAAATCAGTAACAGGTTAAAAGGGACCATAATTTTTATATGCTTTCCAAATTGCACTCTAATATGAAACTATAAACATAAAACAAATAAACACCCCAATCTGTACCTTTAGTTCCTCATTGTATATTTGGCAACTCAAATCCCTCCAGGAAAGAAACTACTTTAACTTCTTCTTTATCACATATATTCATTTGCAACTTATTCCATTCATGCCAACATGAATCACTAACAACATATATCATAAGCAACAACAGAAGCAATGGATAATTAAAACCTGGAAGCATTAGTCAACTTCCTACAGAAGCTACCATTTCAAAAGTGTTGAGTTTGCAAGATATTTTCATACTCTTTCCTAAGGCCAGAATTCTGTTGCAAAAAAGCAGCAGCAGCTCTTTGTTTTAATCAATAGCGCATTTCAAAAAAAAGGAATAAAGCTAAAACTCCCTCTATAAAACATTCACCAATATAGGAATTGCTTAGATCCATTGCTTCCTTCACTACCAAGCTCCATTGGTAGCTTAAAAAGTGCTTGATCTGACCATACACACAGCATTTGCCTGTATGGAAATGCAAGTGTGCTTAGGCAGCACAGTTCCAGCAAACATCATCTTGGAAGGACAGAGAATTACACAAGCTATTTGTCTGAAATTACCAAGCAATTACACTCTGACAATCTTAATACACACAAGTAAACGTTTAAATAATCTGTTTTGCAAAAAGAGAATGAGCAAGAATCAAATCCTTACAACAAAAAGCATAGCTGCCTCCTCCTTCTCTTATTTAAAAGGGGCAAGAGCAGGGGAGGAAATGGCCCTAATACTGCTGGTCATTGATATGCAGAGGCAATTTGGTGAGTCATCACTTCAGCTGATGTTTGAACAAGCCCAGATGGGCCTGTATGGCAATCAGATGGCTCAATACAGTTTTAAATTTCCCCAGGAATTTGGTGATTTCTAGATCTGCTAGATCATCTGCTAATTACCATACCGTCTACAAGTAGATATGCAGCTGTTTTTTTGTTACAGTATAATTACAGGCTAAGTATTAAATGTAGGGGGTTCTCAACTGTCTGAAATGGCATATTTTCACAACAAATACGTCAAAGAAATGCAGAGATTCACTGGAATTTAAATATGGACTGAGGAAATGTTTTCTCTGAGAACTTACATGTTCTCCACTTGATCTCCTCTCATACACTTTTTATTAGTGTCTCCATTTCTATGGCTGATACAAACACATCTATCATGCTGGTGAGATGGTGAGAGAAGAGACAAAATAGTTTGGTTTGGGACTTATGGCTGGGGTATTATTCAGAAAAACAGACAGACCTGGGCAAACATCAATCATACTACAGTGAACTCAATATCACTGAGTTCACTGGAAAGTATCTGTTTCAGAGATTTCACATCCACTGTTAGGTGTGCCAAGGAAGTCTCAGGAAATAGGCAAATTAATTTCCTCTTCCTGACACAAAAATAGATGGAGGGTTAGAATTGCATCTATTAAATAGATGTGTTTTCAGCCTGACCTATCTGCTGAAATCAATGCTGACAAAGAGGGCATTTTAGCATTAACAGGTTTCTGGACAGAAACCATGCAATCCCACACTCGGTCTGGGTACAACTCAGAGACTTTACTGGAAATTTTGCGCTACAGGAAAATCCATAGATAAAAAAAAGGTTTACTTAGATTAGCTTAAAACTCTGAGTTGAACACAAGCTGCACACTAGCTTGAACATCAAAAGCAGTGCATGGTCTCCTTGATACAGGTCTATAGAGCTACACAAACTTTTGAAATCATTTGGTGAAACTGTTTTCAGTACCTGAACTAGCTTGTGCAGCACTAGAATGGGCACTGTATGTGTCAAGGTGGCACACCACAAATTCTTTTCCTTTTTCATCACCAGCTTTTCACGAGTTGAGAAGTCATGCAGAACTTTAGCACAAGATCAGACGAAACATGGAGTTAATAATATCCCAACCACTGTTAAAGTATCTTCCACTCAGTCATTGTTATACTAATCTGCTGATTTCAGTAAAAGAAACCCAAAGAAATTCTGTGCTGGAGAGACCATATTAAATGGCTTGCTTATCACTTTTTGAATGATTCATTAACCAGCCTAATTTAATCTGCCACATGCCCAGTAAAATTCCAGTTTAACGATGTAGTGTGAGCTACCAGCTTTTTAGAAATGTTACAACAGGCCAGTAACAAAAAGTTAAGCATTAACCAAGATGTGACAAGTAGGTAGCTACAAAACTAAAAACCTGTTTTTTCAGGTCTTTGCTTAGCTCACTCTTAAAAATGTCATGTCATTCACTTCATGGGTTGCTCTTGATTAAAATAACCTTTATTTAAAATATAAAACCTATTTTCTGTCTTTTCAGAATATATCAGACTATGAGCTGAGCCGATTCAAAATAATGCACCAGCCGTAAGTTTCTCATTATTTTCTGCTTCTCCACTGAATGACTGCTAAACTGTTGTACTCTGTCTTTTCTCTGTTAGTAAATTAGGAAAAATGAGAACTGAAACCACCTGCTCACGTGAACAGCATTAACTGATGTGGGTGGAACTTCCTCAGGATTAGGATCCTGGAATGTTTACAAGAGCTGTGGTTCAGATCAGCTGACATGATCTGCTGCTGTGTGATATTCTTCCTCAGAACATATAGGGACAACCTTATATTAGGAAAAGTACAAGTTCAACTTATTCTAGAATACAAAAGCTCTTTGCTTGTATAGTGTATCTTCGGAACTGGTTCATCTGCTGCTTAAGGATCAATTTAAGTGATCAGTTTAACAAAGTGCTATGTTGAAAGTAATTTAAATAGAATTTAAATACAGTACTGAATAAGCAAATACAGATGTAACAGTTGGGAAATGCCTTAACGTTTTTTGTGACAAATTAAGTTCATTTAGAAGGATATCCATAATGTTCAAGCATATTATTTCTCTTGTAGTACTACACAGAAATAATATTAGGGAATTTTCTCTATGAGCCAATGAAACCAAGAAGACTTCAGATTAATACAGAGGATCTTGCTGTTCTTCATGTAATGGTTGTTATTATTCCATGTAGTTTCCCCTCTCACCTGCTAGCTGGGAGAACATTGTATATATTTATAAACTGATTTCTGAATTCCACTCTATTGGTAAGAAACTGGATGAACTTGAAGGGATTTTTACCCATTAAATTCCTATTCCTATTGATAGGAATTTGATGAGCACATAGGTAAATATTATTCTGGGTTTAATTTAATAATTAACTAGATAAGTAAAGAAAATATCAGAGAACATTCTTGCAAAGCAATTAAGTCTAACGGGACATCACTTTGAGAGAAAATGTAGAGAGAATTAATATAAAGTTAACCAAGGATATGTCCTCTGTTTCTGTGATATACATGAATCTGATCTACTACAATATTGAGGCAAACAGAAATCTACTAAACTGAGGCCAAGGGTTCCCCACTGATGAGGGCATTCAAGCTTTGGATTCTCAAACTGTATATCGGAATAACTAAGGTGTTCTGCCATATGAATTCTGTTGTCCAAAGTATTAAAATTCCTTAAATGCACGATGTGGATGTCACATCCCTAGTACCCACTTCCACTCTAAAATCTGTTCTTACATCATTCTACTTGCTATTACAAAAATTGCCTGAGTTTGTAGCACTCAAACAGTTTAACTTGAGAAGGTCTATATTGATCCACCTAAGCCAGATGAACTGGCCTGTTAAAGCCTGTTGATTCAGCAGATAATTCCCAATGGACCAAAACACTAAGGATAGATAAACAGAAAAAGAGTAATTGCAAGACAAGGTAAGACTAAAATCTTGTGTTTCTCCTGGCTGTGGCCAGTGCTTCAGGTCTCTGCCTTAATAAAGTTTCTTCATGGGACTTCATTAGACAGAAGCCAGGTTCTCTGGCATGCCACCAGCAAAAGCTCTTTGCCTTTACTATTCTAGTTCTCGCTAGTGCAACACTTGGCATTCTTATTTTCTGTTAGATTTTGAGTCTACAAGGCTATAAATGCTATAAATGGGAAATAAACACAGTTATTCTGCAAGGACATCTCATCACAGATATACCAGGAGCAGTTAGTAGCCATCCATGGATAAGCTTCCCTGACCTCTGCACCAAATACCTCCACTAATTTAATGCAAGGCTCTTTTCCATCTATTCAGTACTAAACCTGTTCCCTAAGCAGGAAGAGATTATGAGGGCAAAAGAGACAAAATGGCTTACCTGGGAAGAGTTTATCATAGTAATTCTGTTTTGCTACTCTGAAGTAAACTTTTTTTGCACTACACTTTTCATGATGTCTCTTCCCATATTTCATTTTTTCAGTCAGTGTTGGCTTTGACAGGCTAATGACAGCCTGATATAAACTAGTTCCCATCAACACTTAAAGCCACAGGTCTACCTTGATTGCTTCTAAGCAGCTGCTAAATCTTTGTAGTGAACTATCAAGGTGCAGTCTCTACCAGTATTCTATCCTACTCCTGAAATGCAATAATCAAATATTTCTTTCCCCACAATAACAGAAGAGAGGTGCTGCTTTCAAACACAGGACAGCAGCGTTCCGAGTCTCTAGTCCAAACCCTCTCTGGAGCTGGCTGCTGAGGTTGTGCAACGAACTGCTCTCACAATGTTTTCAGCAGTCCTGAAATCATGTTGAAATCTTGAGCTGTGCTTAAAGCCCCTCCTCCTGCAGAAGCACCACTGTATTTTTCACTCCACACAGTAGACTCAGTTGATACACCCAAAACACTGAAAAAGTTCACTTTCAAGAACGCCAGTACAACTTCATTTTCCACGTACTTCCCATCAGAGAAGTTTCAAACATCCCACTGACTACAGTCGTGGGCTCATTTATTCATTGTTAAAATTTATGCCAGGAAGAACATCACACTACATTCAGGAGCATTCTCTTAAGAGAGTGCAGATAACAAAATCAACCTCACACCACAGATATATCAGAATACTGGAACTTAAGCCCAAACATACTGCCAAACATACTGCCTTGCTGTCTTTACTTAATATTTTAATAAGCAGTGCAAATAAGATTGGTATTTACAACTGTATTCAGGAAAAACTGGCACATAAGCTATAACTCAATTAGAAACATCCATAATTCGGAAGCACATCTTCCAAAGAAAGAAATTTAATTACAGCTCCATCACTTCACTGTAGATAGTCCAAGACTTATAGTATCAGATGTTTATGCAGAAGCTGCTTCACAATGCTTTCATCATTACTAAAGTTCCATCTTCCCAGGGACCGTGAAATTAAAAGGCTGCCTTTATAGCTAATGTGATTAGAAATTCATCCCAGATCAAACTCAAAATAAATTTTGCTCTCAGCTCAGGAGCTCTGGGAACTGTTTTCCAAAATCAGGACTGAAATCTTTCATCACAAAATCAGTGCTCTCTATCACATGTGCAAATTCAAAAGCCTGTTCTGGCTGTGTCAGGTTGTTGGGTAAATGAGAAACCTTCGTTTGCAAATCAGGTATGAGGTGTCAAGTCTTGAGTTTACCATTTGTATATAGCAACGTGCAGTTATGGAAGATCCTGGGTAATAAGTGAGCTGTGTTGAGGAACACATAATTACAAGCTCTGTTTAATTGTGGTGTGGGCAGCATTTGATCTCCTTTGCTTGAAATAAACATCTACCAATTTTCACTGCTGTGAAAAAAGCTATTTTACCAGGAATTTATAGTATATGCAGTATAGTCCAATCTTAAACCAAGTAAGGATTTTGTAATTAAGATTCATTTCTAGATTAATTTCTAACATTTGGTTTTCATTTATTCATAATTTTTAATAACTCCAAACTGAAATTGTCCATCCTTGCCTTCCAAGGATAGGCAATGCCTTTCCCTGAGACGTGTGAATAAATTCTCAATTGTGAGAGCTGTTACCTTTGTAATGTTGAGGTGTTCCACTTGAGATGTCTGTGCTTGCATTAATTCAAACTGCAAGAACTAGAAATGTTACACATTAACACCTTTTTTTTTCTCTCCCCTCCACTCTTATTATTTTCTTTTATTCCTTCATTATGAAGGTAAACAATCTAATGTGGAAAATTCACTTTTCAGTTTGTCACAGACATCAGCATTTAAATACAGGGACAAGTTCCTCATACACCAGATGCAAAGGCCTGGATCACCTCTTAGCTCCTTTGTAGCTGGGTCAGAAGTAAGTTCCTATGGCAAAATCTTTTGTAATTATGGTGTCCACTAATCACTAAACCTGGATTTCATAAAAGCTCCAAGCTGAAAAAGCAAAGGTTGTAGATGACTTCTTTCCCAATACTTAGCAAGTAGGGATGTTTTTCTCCCCTCCTTGGTATATACCATAATGGTTTTCTACTACCCTATATCCTTAAAATGCCAGAGCTGACTCAGGCTGAATGTTTCATGTCTAATATGTAGATTTAGTTCCTCGCTTTCCTTAGTTCTTGATGTAGCTTAAATGGCACTGAAAAATGTCCACTTATTCCCAAAACTGTAAAAGGCCAGGGCTGCAAATTCAGAAGACACCTCTTCATACAGTGGGACCTCCCAATAAAAAATGATACTGAAAAGAGACCAAAAGAGATTTTCACTACATAACTCTAGTGTCTACAGGAAGCTTCCTCAGTAGCTATATACATTCCAAAGGAGAATAAAATAGTATCTGAATTTTACTTCAAATCACATTTTTATAAATTATTTACTCATTTTTAGCATAGAAAAGCTATGACAAAAGTCTACCCAGGCATCAAATATCTACAGAGGCAGCCATTTCCTACTGATTAGAATGAATTCTGGATATTCTCCTGTTCACAGGAGGATATAGGGAATATTTTCTCAACAAAGCAACACCACCTTGCCTCCTTTTACAGCAGAAAGGGGGCAACAGACGCTTGCATTGCAGCAGTGTCTCTTCCATTCAGCCATGAGCCATTGAGACTTTTGCAATGACACAGTTACTTGAGAAGGAGGGAAGGAGCATATCGTGTTCCATGTGCTCAGAAGCTCACTTCTGCTCTTGTAACTAGACTATTCCCTGTGTCATCTTGGACCTAATGACAAGTAAAATTAGTGTTTTGAAATAATTTTTGAAGTGTTTTGCCAAAGCTTAGCAATGAAAGAATGGAAAGATCACAGCATTAAAAGCCTTGTGGCACCACCATAAACCACATGTATTTGAACCTGAAGCCACAGTTTAATCATAACACCTTCCCCATCTCAGTTCCCATGTCAAAACAAGTACTTAGCCAGGCAACCACAGACACATTCCAATACTATAAACCTATAACTGGGCATTTTTCCTAGTACTAAGGAAATTCAATTCAATATTCAAACCAAGCTTTCCCATAATTCTGAAAAGTGCCAAAAATTTATGACAGTCTATCTTGGTAAAATATGCCATTAACTATTAAGCAC